CCGGTCGGTCAACTCGCGCTTACTGGGAATGCGGGGGCCTCTTTCCTTCTCTTTTCTTTCTATTTCTATTTCCCTTTTCCTTATTTTCTCTTTCTCTCAGTATATATATTTATCTGTCTACTTATCTTCCGCGTTCTCTTTCTCGTCCCTCCCCCCCTCTTTCGATCCGTCTATATATTTTTCTTTCTTTCTTTCACTCTCTCTTTTTCTCCCTCTTCTCTCTCTCTCTCTCTCTCTCTCTCTCTCTCTCTCTCTCTCTCTCTCTCTCTCTCTCTCTCTCTCTCTCTCTCTCTCTCTCTCTCTCTCTCTCTTTCTCTCTCTCTCTACTTGAACATATGTGGCTGTCATCTTCAGAAAAAAAGACCAGGTATTGAGAACGTACAAGAAAATAATGCATAGGTTGAGTAACACAGAGAATTCCATAGTGAAGTGTTATAAGAATTTAGAAAATAGCAGAGGTTGTAATAAGTTAGACAAACGAGAAAGTTTTATAATTTTTTTTTAGAGGAATTGATTATTGCTTAACGATGAGATGTAGAACCAGTGGTTATTATGGTTATTATTGTTGGTTATTTATGGGAAAAGATAACGACACCACGGCTAATAACATTAATTGTGATAATATTGATGATGACGGAATAATAACAACGAAATTATTATTATTACTATTATCACCGTTATCATTGATATCATTATTGTTATTTTCATTATCATTATAATGGTTACAATCATTATCATTAGTATTATCATTATTATTATTACTATTATTATAAATACTATTATTATCATTACTGTCATTATTATTATTATTATTATTATTATCATTATTATTACTATTACTATTATTATAGCAATGATAATAACAATTTTCATGATCTTTGTCATTATTATTTTTGTTACTGTTATCTTTATTATTACTACTATTACTATTTTTATTAATATTATTGTTATTATTATTATTACTATTATTATTATTTTTATTATTATCATTATTACTATTACTATTATTATTATTATTATCATTATTATTATTATTATTATTATTATTATCGTTACTGTCCTTATCACCACAATCATAATTGTCCTTATCATTATTATCATTATCATCATTATTATTGTTACTGTCATTATTATTACTATTATAATAATTATTATTATTATCATCAATATTATTAATAGCAATAGTATTATTATCATTATTATTAATATTATTATTCAAATGGTAATTTTTATCACTATTATTATCATCATCAGCGTTGTTGTTCTTATCGTTCTTATTATCACCATTATTATTATTATCATCATCGGTGTTGTTATTATTATCAATATTATTAATAACAACAATCACAATGATATCAGTATCCTTACTGCGATAACAAAAATACTAATATAAGAGTGCGGAATATAGTAATGATGGAAATATTTATTAAATCCACCATTACTTTGATTATAATACGTGCCATTATAACTATCATTATATATTCATTAATATTACCATAATTATTTCCATAAGTATCATAACTATTATTATCTTTTGGATCAGAATCCCTTTTATTCTTACTATTATAATTACTACCATCATCATTATCATCATTACTATTATTATTATTAACATCATTATAGTAATAATAATAATAATAATAGAATCAAGAGTTAGTTTAGCGAAGAAAATATATGAATGAATAAAAAAAATGAAATGAAAAAAATAATAATAATAAATAATAGTAAGACCGAGCACAGAAATATGACGTTTCCTTGCTTGATAAATGTCAATAGTTTTGTTGTTGTTGTTGTTTTGTTTTCTTGGAGTTAAAAAACATGATTATGAAATTACAGACACTTCAAGATAAATTTCCACATCCATTCTCTCGCCGTCGTACTAGTAAGTATCATGAGCAACAACAAAAAATTATGAATCATTCCATTATATGTTATATGATACACGAAATTACCCCAACAGAAAGAGAGATTGTGATTACGATATTTAAAAACCTCATTCAAATGTGTTTTCGTTGTGCTCTCTCAAGTAACTCGAGATGGCACACATAAGATGCTCAACTCCGTGTCATGTGGTATGCCCGTTAATTGTCCAGCCGAATGATTCATGGTGTCATTAAAGGATCGTCAACAGGGTGCCACCGAGTGCCTCACGAGTGCCACCCTCAGTTCCGTTGGAGTATCCTTCTCGCGTTCAGTCCCATTAATCATGACAGGTCACCCTCCCTCCTCCCCGATTGCTAAGTGTGACTCATCCTCCGCATAACGCTGCAGATGCTTCTTGTGCCGAGCGCGGAGTGTGACGGAGTGAGGTGTTTGGCCAGTGTTTGTTGTGCGCGTGTGACGGTGGCGCTTAAAACGACTCTGGAAGGGAAGTCCCTCCGTGCTAACCCGACCGGAGCCGTAACGGATTCTCAGCGGCCTGTGTTCGCCCCGCCTGCCGTCCCCCGACCCGGAGCGGCCTGCCACACCGACTCTCCTTTCCTAAGAACTGTGCTCTTAC